AATTATTAACACCATAATATGAAATTATAAATATATCATGTACTTTCAAAATGAAAGAAAAAGTGAATTTGTGTAAATATATTTGAACTCATAGAACAATATTCTGAATAGTATAAAGAAGGCTGACTAATAAAACTGTGGGTCCACTAAGTGAGGCCTATCTTCTGCAGGTGATAAACCAACAATATTGCATAGAATTGTGACCTTGAACTCAAAAGTACACATCAGTGAGGCACAAAATGAATGCAGTCATTATCTCTTGTTACTTATACATACCCATTACACTGATTGAACTTTGACTAGATGAACTATGACTAGATCTTTTAGACGAGGGGCTTTTAAAGGGAAAATTAAAATTTAAAAAAAATTCGGTTCAACGGTACATAATATGTGGTAGTACAATTAAAAATAGATATTTCCAGAATTGGACCAAGAACTTTATGTGGGCAGTACACTCCATATGGGCAGTACAGCCCATGAAGGCAGTACAATCTACAAGGGCAGTACAGTTCATGAGGGCAGTACAGTCCATGCAGGCATTGTACAGCCCACTTCTCACAGTACTTTATAATAGAAAGTACAATTAAAGCTATGCAGAAAAAGAATAACTTTGCAATACTTAGTATTTTAAACATTTATGCCAAAGTTGAAAAGAATATCTATGGCAATTTCTGAGAAACTGGAGTTTAATGTCAGAAGGACAGCAATTGCTCAACTATTCTCCTTGTTTGAAAGTAAAAGGTGAGTCAGTTATGGGACTTTAAGGCAGTGACCTCCTATTGTGCTCTTTAATAAGTATGTGAAGTTTCAACCCATTCCCTACAATAGTTTTGGAGATGCACATAAAAATTTGACCAAAGCGGACGCCTGGGTGAGTATAATAGCTCTATAAGACTCCCTAGTCTTGGAATAATCAAGGTAAAAGTGAGAACTCAGAAAATACATTGTTATAGTGACTTTTACCTATAAGCAATTCAACTAACTTATATAAATTGAATCTTCAGATATAAAACTTAGATCACAATTTTGATGAAATCTGTGTTTAAAAATCTGTCCAAAATTAGGGCTCTTGACAAAATGATATATGGCAAAAGATAACATAAATCTTAAAACTGGGTCAACAAGTAAGGGCATAGACTTTGATATAAAGTTCTAAGGATGCATAATATGTAATTAATACATTTTGTTGTTAACTATATGCTGTGTAATATTCATAAAAAAAATTCTACACAAAAAAACTTTAATATTTTAAAGCAGCATGCCTCCAGATTCATGCTAATATTCATGAAGATTTAAAAATGTATTTGAAAGTAAAATATCGGGAAGAGAACAATAAAAGTAATTTAGACATTGTCATTGACCCTTACAATCCATGTAAATTACCAAATATGCAAAAGTTGTCCTTACTGCCTTTTTCACACAGTAGAAATATAGTAATAAATACTGCAAAATCAGTCATTTAAAATCACATATAACTTGTAAATTATTACTGGAATATTGAATCTGTTTATTTTTCTTAAAATTCTAGTACATTTTTCTCAAGTTTGATTTTCTTCAACTGTTTTGGCTCATCCGGAGGCATACAGCTTTAATGACTATAAGAAAGTATATAATCCATAAACTATTATCTTCAGTTCTATTGAAAAATTTTAATATCTAAAACCTAAAATTCACATTCTAAGAACTCAAAAGCAAAACTTTTCACTGTGTATATAGAAAAACGTAAAACATAGAATAGTTCTGCAATGAATCCTGAAATTTCTTTTTGTTATGAATCTGACTATTATAAGTCAGTATTATTACCTTGGTAACAGATTTACCCCAAGGCTATTATGATTTTGAATGTTTGCAATAAAATATAAGGTATAAAACTATTCCCCATCATTGATAAATTGCCAATATAATAAATTTGAATAAAAATGCTGTATTTAAATAATACAGGTACATAATCTTTAATGGAATTAAAAAAAGATTGACAAGTACTCTAATATAAAAATTTACAATAAAGAACCACAATAAATGTTACTAAAAAAGACATTTACAAGATTTTTTTTGACGCAACTTTATACAAATGTATTTTTAACATAAACTAAGTTAAAGGGACTCCACTGAGGTTTTTTGATATGACCGGACATTAGAAGTAATTTTTTGATTTTAATGCTCTATTTGATGTAAGTCTAGACTAATAACTTGTGTGCAAAGTGCTCACTCTGTGTTTTTGCCCGAATACTATCATTCTTAATAAAATGACCCTAAATGCTAATAGGGTTAAAAATAGCACATAAATATGATTTTCAATTTATTTCTGAGTAAATTTCTTAAATCAAATTATCTTAAAATTTGCATATCTGTCGTTTACAGCAACACAGCTGATCTATGAAAAAATACTTATTTTAAATTTTTAGGCTTTTAGTGGACCTCAGTGGAGTTTCTTTAAACTATAATACTATATGGAATTTAAGCCAGTTCTATGAATCCTTTTAAAAAAATAACTATTTTATATAATTATAGTGCAAGAAATTCTACAAGGATAGCTATTAAATGAGATATAATATTAGAAATATTTTACCTTCCGACATAATTGGGAAGGAAATTTCACTGTGTTCGAGTCGGGCCTTCTGAAACACAATCAATATCATCAATCATTGCTTGTTCTTATAGTAACATGTCAAATCTATTGATTTAAAGAATAATGGAGAAATAGATTTTTTCACAAACGTTATTAGGAAATGGAAAATGCATTTAGCGTCGGAGAAGGAAGACAAATTCGCGTTTCATTGTCCTTCATTGTTGTTTCATAGATTTTATTTAATAATATTTGTAACAGAAAAAAATACTTTGATTATTCGATAAAATTTCAATAAAAATTCTTTCCTTTGTTATAAATAAATATCAATTACACAAATTCCATTTTGTTTCAATGTTTTCTTCTCTGTTCCAAAAAGAGGCATATATGTTTTATCTAATATTCTATTATTAAATATGTTAATAATTACTTTAATTAGTGGCACCGCCTTCAGTTCTGCAATTGGAAGAAGGGCAATAAATTAATGGTTCACCAGAAAAATTTGTTTTTCTCACACTTTAGCGTACCCTTGGCAGAAATTACTGGTAATCTTACAGGATTTTACTAGGATTTAGTGGGAAATTCCCAGGAATATTTACAGGCATATATCCTAGGGAAATGCAGGGAATCTGAGAGGAATTTCCAGTGTACTGGCTGGCGTAATTGGAACGAACTGAAACTACATTAGGTAAAACTAGAAAAAATGTAAACCAGATGCCTAAATAGCGACTTGTATGGAATTCCTAATTATGAGAGTGACCTGACCACGGTAGTGGAACATTGTTCTAGTTCAATCCCAGGATTTTCAGGATTTCAAAGACTATGATAAATTACAGTATACTCTGGGTATTTTTATAATCTTAGGAATGATATGAGAAATGGACCTCCCACGGTATTTTGGAACGTTTTTTCTAGTATCCTTGCATTTCAAAGAACTTGAAATATCCAGACTCTGTATTTCCATTATTAAGAATGGCTGCGGTAATAGCCTGGTGCTTGTACTGGAATTCTAGCACTGTGTTGATGGACCACAGGATATGTTACCTAGGGCACCCAAAGCCTTACGATTAAACAAATAATCAGTTTTGTAGACTTAGAAGATATCTATACAAGACAATTTATGGACAAATAACAAGATGCCATGGACCAGGACAATCACAATACTCACATAGCCACATGTTATGTGTGAACAAATAGTCAACTTTTAAATCAGTTAAATTTTACAGCGAATTTCAACATCATTCATAAAACTATTAAAATTTAATTAAAAGATTGGATTGCATATGTGAACAAATAGTATTTCCTACAGTGTAATTGTTTTTGTATTGTTTTTAGACACACTTATCTTAGAATTATATACATTGTAGTTACTGGAATGCAATGAGCTTGGCAATAACACTTGACTTAAAGATTCCTTTTTTTAAAACCAGTGTAACATGTGACACCTCTTTAAAATTTAGCACTAAAAGTTAAAACATTATAATACTTGACTAGGTCACTCCTAGATTTTAATTTGCTTTCATCATTTTCTTAACTGATTGAATGAGGGACATCACTTAAACAGTCTAAGAAACATCAACTTAAACAGTACAAAAACATGACGCAAGAAACCTCCAGTATTACATGCAACTCCTACATTTTCTATTGCTGTCTTCTGAAATGAGTAAATCCTTGCTGCAAGATCCAATTTTTGCTGGTTTTAATAATTTTCTTGTCATCAAAATCTTTTCATACTGGAGAATCTCAGTAATCCACTGAATTGGATGATCTCTGGTAATCAAATGAAATGTTGATCTTTGGTATCCAACGACTTCTTTGCATTTTCACAGAATATATACATATATATATATATATATACAACAGATAGGAAGCTCTAAAAATAGATAATAGTCAGATTCAGACCCACAATCCTTTGCAGGCTTCAGTGATATTTGGGTTTTCTCGATAGTCTCCAATTTTCGCACTCTCGTTAAACTTGGACGATATCCATGAATTATTGTTTACATACCCCGACATAGATTTTCATCAGAGAAATATTTGTATAGAAAAGTGTGTATAGTACCTTTTACAATAAATAACTATTGCTTTTTATTTAAGCAAAAAAAAATGTTTCATCTTCCTCCGGGAATTCAATATGACGGTGTTTTGGCTATTTTTACCCAGGATGCATCAAATATCTGAAAATCCGCGCAACACATGATAACTTATAAGAACACAATTCTGCCAATACTGAATTTTAACTTGTGTGACATCACAGTTTCTTCTCCATGTATATTTAGCTCCATGGCATTTTGTACAACTTGCCCTCTTTCAATTAACTGAAGAATTTATTTTTCTATATCAAAAGTTTTAGACCCGTTTTATAGATTTAAGCTCTCACTCTCCTCAGCTTTGAACATCATCAACAAGTTAGTTGAACTCCTCCCTTTGTGGCCTAGTTGTACCAATTCTTATCTGAAATCAAACAAATACATTTCTCTACATATGGAAATATTACAAGATATTTGAATACGAAATAAATAAAAAATCACTTGGCAGGACGTGAAGTGGATGCACACTTGGTTCAAGCAAGTAAAATCATTGCAAACTTGACAAAATGGTTTCTGTGTCTTAAATATTTACCAAAACTCTCACATATTTTTTCAGGTAAGTGGGTTTGTATGTTATTTGATTTTTTTTTAAATGGCCATTCATGAAGGAAGTGTTTATGACACACTGTTCTTTTTTATGCTCATTTATTCACATATGTAAGTTTTGATTTTTGTTTGTTTGTTTGTTTCATTTTACGCCTTTTTTTCAACAGTATTTTAGTCATATAGGCGGGTAGTTTCCTAACCATCATTCCTGGAGAGTTACACCAGTACTAGACTACCTTCCTCCGCGCTAAACTACCAAAGCATCTCCCGGGGATCGAACCCACGCCAGAGAGGTAACTGGATTAGAATTCATCGACTCTAACCCCTCGACCACGGAGGCGGTTATGTAAGTTTTGAAGTTCACCAAAAAGGTTTTGACGTTCACCAAAAAAGGCAAACTAATGAAAATATACTGTGTATTTTTTTTTTATTATTATTTATTATCATTGTTATTCCTGTAATTTAGTGATGTTGATCATTATTTCTGTAAAGTTTGGTTGATTCTAACTCAAGCACTCAAGGAAAAAATAAACACAACCATAATGAAACGGTTTTTACGTAGTCAAAGGGAAAATAACTCTACAAAATACGGGATAAATCCACAAGCGGAACCCAAGGTGCACAACTACATATGCTGACCAACCTTCCATAAGGTTTAATGACTGTATGTCAAATCCTTTTTTGATTTACATGCGACAAAGTTGAAAATTGCAAAAAAATTTCAAAGTCAAGGTCAATAACTCTAAAAATAAAATAAATCCCCACGAAAATATCCAGTGCACAACTTCACATGCTGATCAACATTCCTGCAAAGTTTCATGACTCTATGTCAAACCATTTTGAGTTACATGCGACACAAGTTGAAAATTGCAAAATTTTACTAAGTCAAGGGGGCAATAACTCTAAAAATACTATATAAATCCAGACAAAAATACCCAGGTGCACAACTACACATGCTGATCAACATTCCTGTAAAGTTTCATGACTCTAGGTCAAATACTTTTTGAGTTACATCGAGACACTAAAGAGAACGGACGGACAAGGGTAAATCTAAATGCTCGCCACTTAAGTGGGGCCACAAAAATATCTTGTTCAGAGCGTCTTCAACCACTTCACGTTCTGCACCCTAATACAATAACAGATTACAGTTCATCGAATTTAGCACTGGCCCAATGCCCATGACCATGTGGGTAAATTTTAAGAGAATTTAGTTAAATATATAGTAGAATAAATTCAAAACATGGAATTCGGACGAGTACATTCAAAAATATCTTAAATTCATATGACTGAGATTTATCGGCAATGATATTCAGTTAGTGCTTAAAGTATGACACTGTTTGTGCTATTTTGTGTTTCTTGCAAATCAATCATGTGGAATTTATTTTAATGGACCAGTATTCAGGATTCTCCTAGCTATAGGCTTAGACAGTGTCAAAGACAAACCTTTTAGACTAGGCTGTCACCTGGACCCACTGACCGATAATTTTAGGTGGCTAGACAACTTTTGAGTGTCCAATAATTCACTATACATAGCACAGAAATCTAGGAGATTAAATCACACACAAAACACACACATACAAATCAAAAACAAACAAAAAACATGATTTCTGTTTCAAATAAATTTTTTGGAGGTATCTCATTGTGATTTAAAATACAGTCTGTCAGTAATGTGTTATTTTAAAATACAGACATGATGTAGGCTTATTGAACATGTCTTTTCTTGTGATCTTGTTTATCATATTCTAATATAAAACTAGATCTAGATTTACATAAATAAATGGTGATATAAAAATATTGTTTCTTTTATGAAAAACTTTTTTTTTCTAATACAAGTTCAAAATTGCTAAGGTATAGAACTGTTTGCATACTAGGTATTAAACTGTCATGGGGTAAAAAAAACTTGTTACCATGCATTTTTCAAAACAATATTTTAACTTTAGAGGGCATAAGCAAATAATTTCCTGCAGGAAGCAGAGCCATCTTCAACGATGCTTTGTTTTTTTAATTATTATTATTATATCTTTCCTGTTCAAACAAAAGAAATTAATAAAAACGGTCGCGAAAATATGTAACAAATGTCCGTTTACGCATTTTTTCAGTAAGGTTTAAGTATCTTAACTGTAACTAGGAATAAGCTGGAAATACAATTATTATTTCTATTGCTTCAGTCGGCAAATATTGTTACAAAATAATGCTTTTAGAAGTGAAGAAAAGTCATTAAAATAATCTCTAGACTCTTCATTTTTTCTAGGGGTCATAAACACGCCGGGCTCTGTTTGGGGAAAAATCAGTGCATTTATGATAATACTCACAGTGAATTTCACCGATTGCAGCTTTGAAGGTCTTCTTCTGATAATTTGCTTGAGCTATTTCACCTTCCTCGTTGTATGTCTTTATTGGGAGAGACGATATCAGTTCACTGTTGATATGAGACGAAGAGTTTGTCGTCTTTGAATATTGCGCGCACAATAAACCTGTGTTCTACGTAATAAACCTGTGTACTACGTCAGTAACATGTGCTTGATTCGCATAATTTTGTGTAATTCCGTTGTTTTTGTCGTCAATACAATGACTGAATAATTTCAATTATATCTTTGAATTTTATTTCACAAATCTATTATTTTAAGCACAACAAGCACTTGAATTTCATACAAAACTACAGTAGTTTCCAAAACAATTGTGTTGCTACGTCATCAGTATACGTATCCAATACGTCATGAAAATATGCTCGTCTCGGTTAGCGTAAATATACGGATATTGCTCGAGTATAATCGTAAAGGTTTGCTGGTTAAGTAAAGACTAAGTTATCATCGTTAATTTCCGTCAGCGTAAATATGACCTGCCACATACAGGCCTACTTTAATTCAGGACTCTCGATTGACGCGGGGATTCGGGTTTTGACTCGTGAAAATTTGGAAATGCACAAATTTGACACGTGAAAAAATCTGCACAAGAGTCAATTTGCCACATTGGATTTTCAACTATGCAATAATTAAATCACCTTACTGTAAATCCACCCCTAATTAGATCTACATATGTTCAAATCACACTCAATAAAAATGTCAACAGGCAGGTATAAGCCGTGTATAAAGTGGTTTAAACACACAGCCTGTGCCACTGAAGCATGACATCAGTGGATCTGCAATTTGACAGCGCTAAAAATAGCTCTACACAACTGATAAAATTTTACATACATCAGATGTCAATTATTGATTATTTTTTTAAGGTTTATAATACGTCTTTGATTTACTTGGAGTGCCTGTACATTTTGTTATTTCTTTTTGGATATATATATTCCTTTTATCTATTAATTAAATGGCCAATGATAAAATTGTCACTCAAAAATGCAGGTTGACCATTAAGGTCAATTGATTATTAAATTTCAATTAAATAATAATAATAATAGTTATCCTAGAAAAAATATTATTAAATAGATCTAGATCAGTATGTTGTTTTATTTTAAAAAAGAAAGAAAACATTTTTATTTTCAAATTTTATTGTCTTCCTTCTTTATTTACTTGTTTACTTTCAACAAAGAGAATTCCTAGTCTTTAGGAATTTATGTAAGATTCAAGGAATTTAGCACAGATGTTAAGGATTTTGTTCTACAAGATAAATTCTAAGTAATTCTAAAGACTAGGAATTTTGCAAAAATCTTAAGTCTTAGAAATCTCAGAAAATAAATTACAATTCTAGAATAACTTAGAAATTGATGAGTTGTTTAAAAATTATTAGAAATGCCTAGTTCTCAGTAACTGGTATTTCCTAGGCCATACTAGAATAGCCAAGACTGGTTTTAACATTCTGGAATTTTCTAGGATAAAAACTGGGAAATACTGGGACTTTTTAAATACCAGTATATATTTCTGCAAGGGTACTTACCTGTGTGCTTCTTTTTCTTCTTCATTCTTCTAACTTCTGTATCTTCTTCATTTACAAAGTTACTTGTCTGTCTTCTCATTCTAGGGCCACCATCCTCATCATCAACTCTGTAAGTTTGAAAATTATGTTTATTACAAATTATCTCCCTTCCATAGTCATTTTTAACAGTTTCTCTCCTTCCGTGAAATATACATAAAATAACATAATTATCCCTCCCCTCAGTAAAAAATGATTCCACTGATTTATCAGACCTTAATTATAGGAGTTATCTCACCTTCACATCAAAACCATCATTTCAGAAATTGTCTCCCCTTTATTGACTTTACAAAAATTATTTCCCTTTTATCTTAAAGCTTAATAATTATATCTCTTCTGAAATAAGAACTTGACATTTCCAGCTAAATTGACTTCACTTCTTAAGAATTTTAGCAATTTTGTCCCCTTCTAAACATTTGATCACTTCTATTTTATTTATAATACAGATAATCTCCTTTCATACTATTTGCAGGGCTTACCTCCTTTAGTTGTTATTTAATTAACCTTAAATAGTAATTTGGAGAGTAACCCCTTCATCATTATAAAATCAATTAAACTTGTTTACTTCATTATGACATAATAATTGAAAAAGGTTACCTGATAATGGACTAATTATGCATCCAATTATCTCCCTTTGTATTAAAATTTTAAAAATGCCTGCATTTTTTCTAATTAAACTCAATTATACCTACATGATATGAGATATAAAACTCTAATATTGTGTTGTTCATTAAATTAAAACAGGTTTCAAGCATTGGTTATGTCATGAATTTGAATTAGGTAATTTTTTATAGAGAGAAAGAGATTTGATAAACCTGTACAAATGATAAAATTATACATATTTATAAGCACATTTAATGTCTTATGCGAATGCGGTCAAAATAGTCAAACCTGTGTTTAAAAGACCATATCTAAAGAAAGATAACCCTATTAATAAAGGCCACTTTTTTGATTACCCTTATTTGATCAAATGGAATTAAATAACCTCCAGATAAAGACCACTTGTCTGCAAAGACCATGTGTTATCCTTCCCTTGGGTGTCCTGTGGTCACAGGTTTGACTGTATAGTGAGATTAGTTTTAAACAGAGGAAACATGTCTTAATCATTATCTGGAGAACACATTTATTACAATTTATAAAGAGTAAAATTATGTTCTTTCCATATTCTTGAAACATTGAATGTCCATTTTATTTCAATATTAAATAAAGATAAGTTATTAATATCAAAATATGAAAAGGAGAGGTTTAATAATCCCACCTTTATAAGATCTATCCAACTATTAAATTGATATCTCATATACTTTTTTAAAACAATACATGCCCTGGACAAATATTAAGCATGAAGAAAAAGGACAAAAAAAACCCGAGAAAAAAAAAACAAAAAAAAAACAAGGGCAATTATTAAAAAATCATGATATGTAAAGTTATCCATCCTGTGCATTATTCCAACTCAATGACATCTATTCACCTGTGAAGTTTCAAGTTTATATCTCAAATTACTGTTTTCTAGTTTATCCTCCCGACACAAATCAAGCATGAAAAATATCAAAATAATCAAGGTAACGTGTTTTTTTGCAGGGGATGATAAAAATTCAGCTTTTTGTATTCCAAAGATGTGTGCATTGCACAATATTACTTTACCTTTGAAATAATAAAGTAAATATGAGCCTCATTTTCCCCTAAGAGTTTCACCAGCACCAAATTTACAAATGACAGACCTTGTTTAAAGTCCCATCTTTTAATGTCAATATAAAAAAAACCTAACAAATATTGATATAATGAAGTTCAACACCTAAAGTCAGAAAGAAAAGTGAAAAGAAAATCTCATTTTATTCAAAACACCACAAAAACCATGTGCAAGTTTTTAAAGATATAAAAGACATTACTGTTTATTTCACACTTAATCAAAAAAGGAGTATATATCAAAAACAAGGTTATATATCAAATATAAATTTACAAATTTTCACAGCAAACTTGAATATAATATTACTTAATATAATTCAAAACCCAAGACAGAATGTTTAGAAATTTAAATATTTATTTACATTATGAATAATGAACATTTTTGCAGAGTTGTCTGTTCCTGATTGTTGTACATTTATAACAAGCTGTGCAAGAGCTATCAGAACTATCATCATTAAAAAAAGTCCAAGTTTAATGTGTGTGCAAATTTCATCACTCACACACTCTGCTGTTTTAGAATAAATAAATTTCATTGTACAAAATGACCCCAAAAAAGATAAGCATTTAAATGCTTTTAACTCAAATCAGGCTGAAAATGGTGCTAAAAAATCAATATTTTTTTATCTAATTCTGAGAATCTTTCTTAAAGTGGTTTGCATATTTTTCTCTTATGGGTTGTGTCCTGATTGATCCATGTAAGATTTTCAAATTTATATTTTCAGGCATTTAGGTAAATAAAAAAAAAAAGACTTCGAGACTTCATCGGATCTTCTTTCAAGTTGCAATATGACAAATCAATGTGTCTCAAACAGAAACAACAAAAAACCCAGAAAAATGCCCTAATACAAAGACCAAACTGCTACCTTACCTTGATAAAATAAGTGGACCTAGTTCCTGCGGCCTGGTATCAAAATCAACATGCATTTATTAGTATTTACCCCTTATTATAAAATGGACTTGTTCATCTTATAATCTGGACAAAACCACTCATCAATTTTATGGACAATTTTTTAATATATACTGACTGAACAGCTAACAATGAAGACTTTGATCTGATAGCATGGATGTGGCAGCTGATCTTGGTCTGCACTGGTCGCACAGGTAAAATCAGTTGCCACTAGCACTGAGAACTAAATGTATTAAACAAATTTTGACTTAACATACATTTTTATATGCTTTAAATTACACAATCTTTTAGAAAACAAATTTCTATGTTGCATGATCCATAAATAAAAGAGGAGCCATCAGGCCTTGTGGTTAAGGTGTCTGCTTCTTTACCCATGGCTTAAGCCAGGAACCATGGGTTCAAGCCCTTCTCAACATTTATATTGTGACATATAATGTAAATGATATTTTCCTGAATCTGTAATAATTTTTTGCTAAATAATTGAATACATACGCAGGTTTCGTTGGTGGTAATGCAGTGGTCACATTGAAATGATCTTTATCCTTCAACTTATCTTCACCAATCTTCTTCATTAGCTGATACTTTTTCTATATTAAAAGAATGGAACAATTAGATACAGAATATATCTCACTCCAAGGAAAATAATGTAACTGAAAAACTTACGAAAAATCATACCATGACAAAAAACTTAGTATAATTTTGTAATTATCTTTTTTAATGACATACAATTATTTTTCAAGTAAGTGATGGCAATTAAATCATTATTTCACTGCTAGTGATTGAGAATGTGAGTGTGTAATATTTAAGCATCTTTCTTTAAAATCTTTCTGTTACGGTATAAAGAAAAGACATATACCACTTGTTTCATTGAAACATCACTTCACTGATTTAGAACATACTACTTTACTGATATATATCACTGCTTTACTGATATAAGAGTACTGATTCGTAGAGGATATTGAATGATTGTAAGTTTAATACTGAATTTATTGAACGAGTTGAATAAAATTATATCATGCGAGTCTGTAGCAATCATAATATAAATGTATTCAATGAGTTCAATAAATTCAGTAATGAACTTATATGAATTTAATATTCTATTTATCACATACCAAAAATAACGACCGTTTGAAGTAAAAAAAAAACATTTTTCATTGACGCGCCTATAGTGTAACACTAATATTAAGCGCCTCTTACAGCTATTTTTGTTTAATGCAAATGAGCTCACGTCAAAATATATGCACGGCAGTGCAATACCGTTTTTACGGAGTCGCAAAATCATCACGGGTATATGATAAACCGATATATAGTACTGCTTCATTAATAAATAGCACCACTTCACTGATATACCACTAGTATAAACATCTCCACTTCACTGATATATAGTGCTTCACTGATATATAGCACTAATTTATTAATAAATAGCACCACTTCACTGATATACCACTAGTATAAACATCTCCACTTCACTGATATATAGTGCTTCACTGATATATAGCACTAATTTATAAATAAATAGCACCACATCACTGATATACCACTAGTATAAACATCTCCACTTCACTGATATATAGTGCTTCACTGATATATAGCACTAATTTATTAATAAATAGCACCACTTCACTGATATACCACTAGTATAAACATCTCCACTTCACTGATATATAGTGCTTCACTGATATATAGCACTAATTTATTAATAAATAGCACCACTTCACTGATATACCACTAGTACAAACATCTCCACTTCACTGATATATAGTGCTTCACTGATATATAGCACTAATTTATTAATAAATAGCACCACTTCACTGATATACCACTAGTATAAACATCTCCACTTCACTGATATATAGTGCTTCACTGATATATAGCACTAATTTATTAATAAATAGCACCACTTCACTGATATACCACTAGTATAAACATCTCCACTTCACTGATATATAGTGCTTCACTGATATATAGCACTAATTTATAAATAAATAGCACCACATCACTGATATACCACTAGTATTAACAGCTCCATTTAACTGATATATAGTGCTTCACTGATATATCACTAGTGGTTAAACAATGTAAATACAAGAAATTACAATCATACTTCAAGCAAAATCAGGGTAAAGTTTCACACAAACTTCTTCATCTACATTAACAGAAAAGCAGAAGCAAAATTAAAAGAATGATCAAATATTATTATCATAATAAGCAATAAAATTTGAATACCTTTCTCATAGCAAGAGCAACTGAGGGTGGGATATCTGGGATCAAATAAGCTATCAGAAATTTCAAAGAGAACACAATATGCTGAAAATAGAATTAATTACACATTTACATACTGAACACATAATTAAATACTGCTGAAAATAGAATTAATTACACATTTACATACTGAACACATAATTAAATACACATTTACAATACAATCACATGTACAAACTGGAAACAAATTTCTGTTAAGTAATTATGCTTAAACCATAATTTTTAGTCTTGGATTAGTTAAAATTTCATGATATTAATGATAAACATAATTATAGTTATGCTTAACAACAGCACTGCATGTGGTGTTGGCACTGGTATGTTAAGAGCAACCAACTTTGACAAAAATTCTAGGGTAAAAAAGGTCATAACTCCAAAAATATAGCTTTTAGCATTATGCCCCTTGCCTAACACCTTGTCTTGTCATGATAAGCAAGTATCTCAACTTTCCTATTGATAACTTTTAAAATGTTTGAATAATGGGCTCATTTCAGTTTTTCATGACAACAACGATGATGACAATGTTGAAGATGCAGCAATCAAAAAAGACTTGATCTTCAATCATATGAGCTAAAAATATTCTGAAACAAAATGCTAAAAGCAGACGCAAATTCTATAATAAAAGTGATAAATCTAGGCTTAAGTGATTAACTAACAATACATACAGTACATTCCATTTTCCTCAGTTCTGGATAGTATAATAAAAGCTAAGTAGAAATAAAGTGATAATTAAAAAGTGAAAAGAACTTAAAAGTTACAAGTGGATATCTTTGATGGTTTTATTTTTTGTAAGGTTTTTTTTTGTGAAGGGAAAATTTTCTTTCTATGAAGAAGGGAAATAATGAAGTACAAAAAAAAAATGACATGTTCTAATGCTCCATTCTGCTTAAGCTGGTGCAAGGGTGCTTGAATGTTAACTTGAGTTTCCAGTACTGTACATGAACAGGCTCAATCAAACAAACTCTGCAACATTTTCAATTTTGTCATTATGGTCTTAAGGGATTCTTTATTCCTCTATTCTAGGGTTATCTGCCCTTGATAAATGACAAAATAAACAATTATTCAAAGTTAAAAGTGATTATTACCGATAGTTTGTGAGAAATGGATCTTAACAATAAAGGTAAACAAACTGAAAAAGGGGTATAACTTTGCTGCAAGTTTTCATTTTATAATTATCTATTACAAATGCTGACAATCACCCGAGGGTTACGACAATTCCACTTAAATCTCCGACAAAAAATTGTACATTATCAATATTAAAACAAAACTTTGTAAGATTAAGTTGAATTAAAGTTACTCATTCTACATAAGATTTCAGCCACTCCTACATACCTCAAAACCAATGACAATCCAGAGTTTGCCTGCTGTGTCATAGCCGCTCCCCCAATCTGAGGTAAATGCTATCAGGAAACCATTGGAGACCACACCCACGTAGTTCACAAAGGTCAATATTACAAACCATGTACCTAGATGAAAACAAATACGGGTATATTGAATTTCATGATATTTGAATAGTTCTCAGGATTCGTATTTTTGAGTAATTAATAAACCGTCAACATTCATCTCTGACACTCCAAAAATTTGACATGATTGGTTTACAACATCAATTAATAACTAAACTATAAATAGAAATACTGTCATTATCTTGGAAAATGTATTAATCACTGCTTATGAAATTATCTATAGTTTGGATGTAACTCATTTCTAATTTACAGCATTTTTATGATAAACTGTATATTACTGTATTATACTATTATTACTAGGGCGACAGTTGCTTAAATCATTAACCATTTCCCATCACCAAGGTATATTAAATGAATAACTCTTAACATAAACTCGGTAACAGTAAAAATATGCTGTCGTGGCAGATAATTCTGCCTGATTGAAGATCAATATTGATTTTTATCCAGGATTATGTAGCAATTTTTTCACCAAACATGGACAGGTTTACTGAAACCGAATCTTCACAATTTTTAGTTTTGTTGTTTTTAGTAATCTTACATTTAGTTTCCCATTTCACTATTTCATCAAAATCTTCCAAAATAAAAACAATGAAAAAATCTACCTATTCACTCTACATACATGAACATGTTAAATGATACCTGATGAATATGCTTATTTCATATTTTGGAATAAAACTTTGTTGTTCATTTAAAAAAGCCACAAAGTTTTGAGCAAGAATAATTCATTTAAGGTAAAGTAAAAAACGAAGCAAAATTAATTTACCTATATCTTCAGCAATGATGGCCATTGGTCTCTGATACCACCATAACATTCTCCATGCATCTATACGCATATCAATTGCATTCAGAAGAAGTGCCAACAATGGTGCCAGGGGAAAAGATGCAGCAAACAACTGAAATATATCACAAAATTTTCCTGAGAACAGAAACGTACACTGTACTAACAAACTAGGCAAGAAACACCATTTCAAGTTTTTATAGATGGTTTTCTTTACATAACACTAATATATGTCTATATTTATGTCTAAGTCTAGCCATAAGTTATGGCTCTGAAACACTGGTTTAAACCTACCATCATGAGCCCATACTGAATGATTTTCTCTGTGTATTCCCCGAGGGTGAAGTTTCCGAGGCTAGGTTTCTCTAACTCAATCTCAAGCAAACTTTTCTCTGACTTAGGTTTAGCATTAACGTGGAGGTATTTCCTCAAGAAAGGAATACATGAACAACACTGGCAATGTTTCCTCCATATCTTTAGAGCAAATCTGTAAAATGAAAAAGAATATAAGCTGCATCATGACAAAACTAACATAGACCAGCCTGGGCATCCGCGCAGTCTGATCAGGATCCATGTTGTTCGCTTACAAACCCTATTACAAGTAGAGAAACTGATAGCGAACAGCATGGATCCTGATCAGACTGCGCAGATGCGCAGGCTAGTCTGGATCAATGCTGGTCGCAAACTCATTATGTTGGTTTTGTCATGACGCGGCTCATTATTATGCCATTAACATTTGGTATAAAAATAAAGAATTTTGAATTTTTTGCAACAAGCAGTTGTTTGCACTCTGAAGTGTATAGAAATAAGCCTCAGCCATCCTTTTTAAGCAGCCGGAATAAAAGGGCAAAATGAAACCTTTACGAGTGTAAAGTAAGATCTACAAAATGTATTTTACTATCATATGTAAGATTCTATGAATAAAAATTCTTGCGACTTTCAAGCTTTTACTTGAGCAGGATCACCCTGCATGCCTTCAGATAGAATAAGGTGAAATAGAACAACCACAAGACTCATTTCTCTAAGAAAGTAATTAACCCCATTAAAATTGAACACAGTTCAAATTTTGCAAAATAATCATCTAGTTATCATATACTATATTTATATCAAACTCTCACTTTTTTTTACCTTTAGATGAACAAGTTTATTCAAAACTAGAAATGTGTCATCATGCCACGGATGCCCCCGCATGCAGCCAAAATTTCAGATGGTGCATTAATTATTTTTTTCATTTTAAGTTCAAAGCCCTTAAAACTTTTCAATGTTAACACAAACCATTTTCATACAATGTTCAAGGCACTGAAATTATTCAGTCTTAACCTTTTAATAATAGCATATTGCATATTTGTAGCCAAAATAATAGCTAAAAGTATGAGTGCTGAAACTGAAAGTTCAAAATTTTTCGACCATTCAGGAAAGATTATAGTTTGTTTAAAATCATTGAACCACAACCAAATTCAAACTTAAACTGCTTATTCCTAAGATGTATCTATATTATTTTCAAAGTGAAAGGGACATAACTCTGCCAAAAAATCATCAAACCATGACCACCAACTTGACCTGCCCATTCCTTTGACATATCCATATGTCAAATTTAAGTTGAATATGTAACACTGTTGGGTAGATAATGAACAGAAACTGTAAATTTCATATTATTTTCAAAGTAAAAGAGGCATTACTCTGCCAAAAATTATTGAACCATCACCAAATTCGAACTTGACCTGGGCATTCCAAAAACATATCCATATGTCAATTTTGAGTTGAATGTGTTGTACCATTGGGGAGATAATGCCTGTACGAAAAATCAGCATGGCTTTTATGAAAAACAGGACCGATTCAGGCCTGTTTTGAACCAGAATTGGCAAAATCAGGGTGAAATAGACATGGACCCTGAATTTTCAATAAATCTCACATGGGAATTCAAGTATTTTCTACCCTGACACCGTCTTCATTTTGGTAAAAGTCAGGGTGGAGGCAGGAATATTTGCACTTTGAAAATATTTTGACACAGATTTTACTGACTTTGAGAAATATAAGCAAAATCTATCACAGATATTTCAAAGTTAGAAAATTTTCAAGAACCAGTTTCAATACAGTCTTTACAGTTCTTCATTTCCAGCCTGATTTTTCTGACTTACAGTTATTAGAAATGAATATTGCAATACACTAATTATACAGTTTACATTGCTGTTCAGACAAAATTAAATTTTAAATTCAGAAGAAAATATTTTATAATGTCTATTTCTAGAAAGTATCACTTGATTTATGGTAAACTCCATTTAACAAAAAATCTTCTCAGTTACTGATTTTTTTAAAATTAATATGTAGATTAATTTGAGATTATTTAGATCAACATGATTTATTTTTATCTATGAAATTGATAATTGTTATCAGTAATTGATTGTATCAATATTTAACTTATGGCAAACAATTTTTTTATTTCATGCATAATTTGGTCAGCAATAAGTAATGTTCAAGATTTTTAGTTTTTATCCACAATCCCACAATCTGCACAGAATCTCACATGTCTAAGGTCAGCTTTCAGTTTATATAAACAAATAACCTTCAAGTGGAACTTTGTACAGTATTTCAAAATACTTTATGTTAAACTGGGCTATCTGGCAGATGAAAATACAGAAGTTACCACAGATTGACCGACAGCAGTTTAAAATCCAGAGCAAATATCACACCCTGAAAATTGTTTCCAGCATGGTCATTTTCTTTTGAAAGATTGGAGGCTTAAGTTGTGATTTTTGTTTCAAATAAATCAACTTACACTTATATATATTAATATATAAATGAGTTTTGAATAATTATATAGATAATGAGATTTAAGAATTCAGCTACCGCAAGCTATACAGAACTTTCTTGGAAAATTTATTGTGAAAACTTTAAAATATATATAACATGGAGCATAATAGATTGTGTTAAACCTCGTTATTCATTTTGAAAAAAATGGAGGGAAATTAGCAGCCACTTGTGACAGATAAATGGTAAGTTATAATTTAATTACAGTTCTTAATATTTTTAATTTTTCATAAAATAATGAATTTTGTAAGCCAAGTATTCTGAAAAGACCTTAAATAAATTTCGAGGAAACCTGTTTTAAAATATGGAGGGAAAATAGAAATCATTCTTAATTTTTCTAAATAAACTATACATTTTAATCATTCCATTTTAGAAAAAAAAACTCTTAAGTCTTAAAATGAAATAAAAACAAGATATGTTTGTAAAACATGTATGCCCCCTATCAGCAGCCAATTATTCATGTGATAAGGTAATTATGCATGACTTCTGACCCAGTGATCAAACAATTAATAAGGGTTATCAAGTATCTACTGGTCATGACCTTGACCTTTGACCCTTGACCCCAAACTCAATAGGGTCATCTGCTGGTCAAGACAAATCATCATACAAAGTTTGAAGTTCCTAGGCCTAAGCGTTTTTACTTAATTGATCAGAAACCGTTTTTACTTACAAGGTCAATGTGACCTTGACCTTTGACCCCTTGACCCAAAATCAATAGGGGTCATTTGCTGGTCATGACTTATCACCATGCCAAGTTTGAAGTTCCTAGGCCTAAGGGTTCTTTTATTATTGATCTGAAACCGTTTTAACATACAAGGTCAATGTGACCTTGACCTTTGACCCCAAAATCAATAGGGGTCATCTGCTGATCATGACCAATCACTATGCCAAGTTTGAAGTTCCTAGGCCCAAGTGTTCTTTAGTTATTGATCAGAACCGTTTTTTAACTTACAAGGTCAATGGGACCTTGACCTTTGACCCCTTGATCCCAAAATCGAAAGGGGTAATCTGCTGGTCATGAAAATCACCATACCAAGTTTGAAGTTCCTAGGCCTAAGCGTTCTTAAGTTATTGATCAGAAACCGTTTTTACTTACAAGGTCGATGTGACCTTGACCTTTGACCCCTTGACCCAAAACTCAATAGGGTCATCTGCTGGTCACCACCAATCATCATACAAAGTTTGAAGTTCCTAGGCCTAAGCGTTTTTAGTTAATGATCAGAAACCGTTTTTACCTACAAGGTCAATGTTACATGACCTTTGACCCCTTGACCCTAAAAACAATAGGTCATCTGCTGGTCATGACCAATCACCATACCAAGTTTGAAGTTCCTAGGCCTAAGGGTTCTTAAGTTATTGATCGGAAAGCATTTTTACCTACAAGGTCAATGTGACCTTTCCCTTTGACCCCTTAACCCCAAAATCAGTAGGGGTCATCTGCTGGTCATGACCAATCACCATACCAAGTTTGAAGTTCCTAGGCCTAAGGGTTCTTTAGTTTTTGATCGGAAACTGCTTTTACCTAAGAGGTCAATGTTACCTTGACCTTTGACCCTTGACCCCAAAATCAATAGGGGTCATCTACTGATCATGACCAATCACCATACCAAGTTTGAAGTTCCTAGGCCTAAGGGTTCTTTATTTATTGATCCGAAACTGTTTTTACCTAAGAGGTCAATGTGACCTTGACCTTTGACCCCTTGACCCCAAAATCAATAGGGGGTCATCTACTGATCATGACCAATCACCATATCAAGTTTGTAGTCCCTAGGCCTAAGGGTTCTTTCGTTATTGATCGGAAACCGTTTTTTACCTACAAGGTCAATGTGACCTTGACTTTAACCCTTAACTCCAAAATCAATAGGGGTCATCTACTGATCATGACCAATCACCATATCAAGTTTGAAGTCCCTAGGCGTAAGGGTTCTTTTGTTATTGATCGGAAAACCGTTTTTACCTACAAGGTCAATGTGACCTTGACCTTTGACCACTTAACCCCAAAATCAATAGGGGTCATCTGCTGGTCATAACCAATCACCATACCAAGTTTGAAGTTCCTAGGCCTAAGGGTTTCTTTTGTTATTGATCGAAAACCGTTTTTACCCAAGAGGTCAATGTGACCTTGACCTTGTGACCCCTTGACCCCAAAATCGTTAGGGGTCATCTACTGATCATGACCAATCACCATACCAAGTTTGAAGTTCTAGGCCTTAGGGTTCTTTACTTATTGATCGGAAACCGTTCTTGCTTACAAGGTCAATGTGACCTTGACCTTTGACCCCTTGACCCCAAAATCAATAGGGGTCATCTACTGATCATGACAAATCACCATACCAAGTTTGAAGTTCCTAGGCCTTAAAGTTCTTTAGTTATTGATCGGAAACCGTTTTTGCTTACAAGGTCAATGTGACCTTGACCTTTGACCCCTTGACCCCAAAATCAATAGGGGTCATCTACTGATCATGACAAATCACCATACCAAGTTTGAAGTTCCTAGGCCTTAAGGTTCTTTTAGTTATTGATCGGAACCGTTTTTGCTTACAAGGTCAATGTGACCTTGACCTTTGACCCCTTGACCCCAAAATCAATAGGGGTCATCTACTGTCATGACCAATTCACCATACCAAGTTTGAAGTTCCTAGGCCTAAGGGTTCTTTAGTTATCACTCGGAAACCATTTGGTCTACGGACCGACGGACCGACGGACCGACGGACCGACAAGTGCAAAGCAATATACCCCCTTTTTTTCAAAAGGGGGCATAATTATAATAAAATAAATTTTCTTCTTTCAAAATTTAGGTTGAAGCCAAATATTTCAGTAACACGTGACAAGAGAATGAAAAGAAGAAAATGGTGTAGTTGGAACAAAAGAATACAATAGAAGAAATATTACTGGTAATTTTTATTTTCTTCATTTTCTATCAAAATTACTTTTAATTTTAATTATCAAAAGTATTCATCCCTGCAAATTTTATAGAATTAATGACTTCATAAAGTCAGTACATAATTTATAATGTCTATAATGCTGTAACTTCTTTAAAATAATTTCATCAAATCATTTGTTCTTTTGATTTTTTTGATTGCAATTAATGCAATATATATCTCTAAAACTACATTGTATGGACACATTTTTCTCTATTATAAGGTGTTACATTTTTCTTTTTTTAGATTAATATATAAAATTGAAAGTTGTCTATAGCATTATTCCTACACTGCTTTCATATGTTTACAGATTGTGCAGTCCAGAATACTAGTGGAATTATGTAATACAGCTGACAGTTTCAAGTGGAATTATCAAACAAGAATGACTTTTGAAATGTATTTAATTGTATAAAAATCAAATACAGATAAGTGAAACAAAATTCTGAATTAATTATTATTTTGTCAAATATCAGGGATGAAAATTTATAAGCAAATAGCCACCACTGAATTGTGAAGATGATCAATTTCAGCGCTATTTTCATCAAATTAATTTGTTTGTTTTCTTATGAGCTACTTGTGATCACCTATTATTCTATTTTACATAATGATCAGAATATGATCAAATTTATTTAAGAATATTTTCTTGGACTGGTTTCTAAGAAGAACAGGAATCTGGGTGGATTTTTTATTTAATTTCAGGGTGGGATCTGCAAAATTTTAGGGCGGAATAATAGCAGGAGGAAAAAGTCTGGCTGACTTTTTAAACAGAAATCAGGGTGAATTATGGCTCATTTAAATATTTCAAATTTATCCCACCCTGAAATTGCTCTCATTTAACTAGAAGTAAATCTATTTTTAGAAATCTGTGTCAGTGAAAATTCTGCCCTGGATTTTCCATTTTCAGGGTGGTATTTTTTCTGGCTCATTTAATATTTCGTTGAATCCACCCTGAAAACACATATATATGTATACTAAAAAATCTAAAAATAGATTTCTGTCTTCTCTATAGTCCAACTGAATAGCTTAAAAAAAACCTGGCTGGGAATAAAATGTCTTATCCCATGTCAAATCAGGGTGTAGTCAGGGTAGGCATTTTCGTACAGGTAAACGGAAAACTGAAAATTTCATATTATTTTTCAAAGTGAAAGGGGCATTACTCTACCAAAGAATCATTGAACCATGACCAAATTTGAACTTGACCTGCGCATTCCTTTGACGCATCC